AGAAAAAGGAATATGAACTAGAAGAGGCCAGGTGAAAAAACCTATCTGGAGTAGCTAGAAAAATTTGTTGATTCAGGCTGGTTAGACTGGATCCACTGGAAGGGTTGCAATAGCCCAAGTGAAAGGCCATTCATACAGCAGGTCCTGCCCAACTGGAAGCAGGGGATACCAAAAATCACATTAACTGTCCAGTTCTGATGGCAGACCAAATATCCAGGCTTCTAGGTGCTTCTAGACCTCTGGAATTGTCTGAGATCATAAGGAGGAAGGGGTAGGAGGAAAGAGTAGGACAGAGCCTTGAAAATTAAAGCGTCTGGCATTCCTAGTACTTAGGAAAACTGGGATATGCCAGGAACTCCCCATTCTGTCAGGGGAGAAGAGATGTATAACTAAAAAAATAGCACAACAGGTTTCCTGCCATTGACTGGGGGTGGGGTATGTGTGTGAGAGACAGTCCTTCTCTTGATGGGACTAGTTCAGTGACTTCACTTTTTCAGCACAGGGAGCAACCTCAGTACCAGAAAAACCCAGGAAATTTGCAGAGGATCCTGAGAAGCAGCTGGAGGGATGGACCTGAAAGGAAAGATTAAAGGGGCTAAGTATGTCTAGCTCGGCTAAATGATGACTAAGAGGGAACATAATAACAGGCTCCAAATATCTGAAGGGTGTAAATACTGAGGAGGGAGAAGAAGCTAAAAGTAAATTAAATGAAATTGGGCAATGGTAAATTTCAGGATGGATATAAGAAAGTATTTCTTAGTGGTGAAATCTAGTAATCTACTAGAGCACAGAAGAGATTCCCAAAGGAAGTGAGGGAAGCCTCATGCCTTGAGTTATTCTAAGGGAGGCTGGAGAGAGCACCAGGTAAAATGTATGTATGTAGTGATGATCTCACAAGACTTACCGATTTGCTATTCTTGTCCTGGGCAACTGCATGCAGTTGCCAGTATAACTCAGTCCAAAACACGAACTGCTTCCCATTCACCTTAGCCTTAACAGCAGCCTCCTCATCCCCTGCTGTCCCAGTGCTGGGCTGCCCACACAGCCCTGCCAATGCCCCTCAGTCCTGCCCTGCAACCCCCATGCTATTCCAGTGCTGAGCTCCCCACACAGCCCTGTCAATGCCCCTCAGTCCTGCCCGGCAGCCCCCTGCTATTGCAGTTCTACTTCAACTAGCAGTGTGATGTGGCCACAGTTCCTCTTGGGCTTGATGTTTGAGACCTCACTATATTCATTTCATGTGTAATTTTAAATATCAAGATAAGTCTCTAGACCTAACGGGACATAAAGTCATTGCCTCATCCACCATATCTCCCACAGCAATCTCCTGGTAATCATTGTACCTCCAATTCCCCTTTTGCTCGCCCACCCACTGCTCAGAGAACCCCCTGCTGCGAGTGGGGGACTCAGAATGGGAGACTGTTCTAGTGTGACTCACAACCTGCTTGCTGCACTCCCTGCAGCACCTGGAACTTCTTTGGGAAAGCGTCTTATTTAAGATGTAGAGATAGAATGATCCAAAACTCCACTGTGCAGCAGCATTCATGTATAGATGATTCTTTGTGGGTATGCATCGGACAGTGCATGTGCATGAGGGTCTCTCTGTGTGTGTATGTGGCAGAGAGCAAGAGAGAGAGAGATTCTGTGAGTGGGAGGTTGGGAGGCTGTGTGCATTCACATATATGCACAAGAGGTTATGTGCATGCATGTGTGTCTGTGCAAGTTATGTGTGTGAAGCTGTGAGTGTCCACATATGTATTTATGCTGGGGGGTTGTGCACATGCAATATATGTGCATGAGAGATGCGTGTGCAAGGCATGTTTGTGCATGAATGTATCTTTTTGTGAAGCTGTATGTGCATGTGCATATGTTTGTATGTTTGAGACCTATGTACATATTGCTGTGTGTCTGAGTGTGTGCATGTGTTCAGTGAGTGTGCAAACATCTGTGTGGCTGCATGTGTATGGATGTTGAAGGAGAATGTGTGAGACCATGTACGCATATATATGTGGGGGGTATGTATGTGTATGTGCATGCACACGTGTGACTTCATGCTGTTTTTTGCATGAGGGCGTGTTTATGCATGTGCACTCAGGTAGAGGACATTGAGGCAAAAACATGTGTTTGACTACTTGAGGTATGTGTCTGCTTATAACTCCATGCAGTGTCTGGGAACCAGGGCATGTGTGTAGGGTGTTTGGTGTCATTGTTTGTGGTGTCTGTGTCCCTGTGTGCTTGTTTGTGTGTGAGGGCGGGTGGACATGGGGGTGGCTTTGTGTGTGTCTAGGTAGCTCTGCTTATGCGTGAGGTTGTGTGTGTTAGTGTACTGTGTTTGTATGGATGTGCTTTGATGATGGAGCATGCATATATTATATATTATCTGGGTGTGTGTATGTGTATGTGTTTATCCATCTGTCTCTCATTCTGTGTGTTGTTAGGCAATCTTTAGAAGAGAACAATTTATATATAACAAATTTAGACTACTTTTCTGTTTGCAGACACTTTCCAATTTTTCTATTTTGGCTCGTTCTTCCAAATTATTCAGCAAATGGTTCCTGTGAATATATTTCAGTCTAGGGGCCACTTGTAACTCTTTGCTGTGGCTGCTATTGCTGATGAAAGTTTGTTATTTTTGTCCGTGTGATTGGTCACCTAAGCCACATGATCTGGCATTTTGCTCCCCGATTGGATGGCTGACACCTTTCTATACAGGAGGATAGAAATGAAAGCATTCTCAAGATGGGAAGCTGTGCATGAATATTCACCAGATTGTCACTTTGATACCAACAAAAATCACTCATCTAAATATTTATGAAAAACAACTAGAAAGAGGCTGTGACGGGTTCGGTCACAGAGACACACACACACCCCCCCCGGGACTGTCACGTGACGTGCTGGAATTACCTCTGAGCCCGTTTTCCCTGCCGGCTTGGGACTCCAAAACCCTGCCTTGTTGAGCCAGACACACTAGCTTGCTGGAACACAGACCCAGGTCTGGTCCACACCCCAGAGCTGCAGACTTTAACCAAAAACTGCTCAGCAGGTCACCTATCTCCAGCACCCAGACACCCAGTTCCCAATGGAATCCAAACCCCAAATACATCCATTTTAATCTGTATAAAGCTTATACAAGGTAAACTCAAAAACTGTCCACTCTCTATAACACTGATAGAGAGGTATGCACAGCTGTTTGCTCCCCCAGGTATTAATCACTTACTCTGGGTTAATTAATAAACAAAAGTGATTTTATTAAGTATAAAAAGTAGGATTTAAGTGGTTTCAAATAATAACAGACAGAACAAAGTAAGTTACCAAGCAAAATAAAACAAAACACGCAATTTTAAGCCTAACATATTAAGAAACTGTTTATAGATAAATCTCACCCTCAGAGATGTTCCAATAAGATTCTTTCACAGACTACACTCCTTCCTATTCTGGGCCCAATCCTTTCCCCTGGTACAGCCCTTGTTAGTTCTAGCTCAGGTGGTAACTAGGGAATTTCTCATGACTGGCAGCCCCCTTTGTTCTGTTCCATCTCCTTTTATAGCTTTGGCCCAAGGCGGGAACCCTCTGTCTCTCTGGATCCCCACCCCTCCTTCTAAATGGAAAAGCACCAGATTTAAGACGGATTTCAGCATTATGTGATATGGTCACATGTCCTGTGAGCCCTCATTCTTCATTCTTCTAGGGCTGGCCCGCATGTACCCAGGGAGGTTTGCAAGTAAACAGGGCCATTTATAACCAATTGTCCAAGTCAATGGCAGCCATCAAACTTCCAAACCATCATTAATGGCCCACACTTTGCACAATTACAATAGGACCTCAGAGTTAGACTTCATATTTCTAGCTTCAGATACAAGAATGATACATGCACACAAATAGGATGAACACACTCAGTAGATTATAAGCTTTGTAATGATACCTTACAAAAGACCTTTTGCTTAAGCATATTCCAGTTACATCATATTTACACTCATAAGCATATTTCCATAAAACATATGGAGTGCAACGTCACAGAAGCCAGAAAAAACATCCCGACAAACTGGCAGCATTTTATTCAAACAAATGTTTGCAAATACTTTCCAGCCCTGTTCACTCTCTCACTCTGTCTTTCACTCTCTCACTCTTTCTGTCTATAATCACTGGGCTAAATTCACTGTCATTGTAAAGCCCCTTTGTTGCCAGCTAAACCTGAGCAAAGTGGCTGAAAAGCAGACATAAGGGCCTCCCCAGGGAATACCAGTGGAGGAGGCCTTTTTGTCAGGCACAGAGCTAGCATAACCAGCTCCTCATCTGCCCCCGCTGGAGCCTCTGGTGCAGGGAACATGCCAGAGGCAGGTCATGAGCATGGCAAGGGGAGGGAGGTTGGCATGGGTGCAAATCAGAGCAGCATTAGGGGTTGAATAAACCTTAATCTGCACGAGGAGTCAAACCAGCCCCCAGAAGCCCCAGGATCAGGGAGGGGGTGGTGAAAGCTGTCTCTTGTTGGTCCCTGTGCTGGGCTCAGCACTAGTGCAGGGATAAATCATGGCATCGGGTGTGTATCTTTGTCTATACATCTATATGTGTTCTCTCTCTTTTTCTCTCTCTCCAGATCTCTCTAAATATTATCACAGTGGTGTCTCAGTGCTATGCTTTTGTGGTAGACTACATTTCTCTTATCACACTATACATGTGTTATGGGGGCAGTTTTCTTCCCCCCACTCCACTTTCCCCATCTCCACTAAGTACTCTGCGTCCCCTGAAGGTGGGAGCAACCCTGGACAGCACTATTCAGTGTTCCTGAATGTAAGTGCCACCACAGAAGCCTGGTGGATGGGCCAATTCCAGCTCTGTGGGCCAAGGAACAAAGGGAGGGAGAGGTTTGGAAGGGCACTCTGATAGGGCTGCATGCTCCACGGCACCTCCAGGAGGACTCCCCAGAACCATTTCAGCCTCATCCGCCCATGTCACCCCACAGAGATCTATGCTGCCCCAACATCCCCATTGCCCAGCCCTACCTGTGGATGGCTGAGGGAGTTCTCCAGATAGTGCAGGTCATCCCCCGTACCCCTTGCCTCGCACCCTGCCTCCGACGGGATTCCGTAACTGGTGCACTTCTCAAAGTGGACATAGACGTACTGAGGAGCACCACCCCACAGGGTTGAGTCCGATCTGGGCTCTGCCATCTTATGTTCAGAACTCTCCATGATGCTACTGCCCTGCCCCACAAACACACACTCTCAGCTGTGACGATGGTGCTGGTCCAGGCCCAACCCTGAACCACCTAGCCGGCTGGCCCAGAGCATGGCCTCTGCCTGTCATGTACTCCTACTCCTTATCTCTGTCTTTCTCTCTCTCTCTCTTTCCCCCCCTCTCCCTCCTCCTTGTGTCTCTCTTACTTTCTCCTCTTCCTGCCCAAAGGCGTCTGGGGCAGTGATTGCAGGGTTTAACTATATTTATAGCAACCGTCCTCTGTCACATGATCCCCCCCAGTGCCACATCTGATCTGAGCGAGAGGCATTAACTCTGCCAGGATTGAGTATCAGGTGTGTGCGAGGGGGGAATCCTGAAGGAGAGGGAAGGGGGGAGAAGAAGGCACTGAGGGAGAGAGAGATACACAGTGAGAAAAAAACCCAGGGGTACAGAGACACAGAAGGAGGAAGTGTGAGAAGGAAGGAGTGCCCGTCCAATGGCTCCCCTGTCCCTGCACATCTTTCCTGTCATGAGTGTGCCACATTTACAGTACCCCGTTAGTAGGTTGTTTCTTTCCTATGTTTCTCCAGCTCCCAAGAGAGCCTGGGGAACCAAAATTAAAAGGTAAAGGGGACCATGGGGCCCAGTGTGGAATCATGCAACTAGAACAAGCTGGGAATGTGCACAAAGCCCCATAAGTGTTCAAGGCCCTAGTGGCTGTGAGAGTAGCAGCACATGGAAGACGGGTCCTAGAGCACCTCCTGAAGGTACTTATAACTAGTCTTTAACCACATCCCTGCTGACTGCCCCAAGGATTAACTTGTTGTAAGAATGTAACTGAACTGAGTTTTGTGGGTGCTCAGCCTTGGCTCCTTTCAGAAATTTATTTGTCCTAGTGCTAAGGTTCCCATGGACTGGAGCAGCTGGGACCTTCACCCCATCTCTCTGCCTTCCATTTCACAGCTCTGCTTGCAGTCAGGCTAGGGAGCACCCAGTTCATCTGGGCCACTGAGCCTGCCAGCCAGTGATAAGAATGGGGAACACGTTCCTCCACATGGCCCAGCCGCAAGTCTTCATGCTGTTATTGGCCTGTCAGTGACCTTATGACTGTTAATGGGCTTTTAATTAATGAGGCAAGGAACCCAGGAATATTTCTTTGGCAGGAATCGCATGCAGGGAAAGAGGAAATCATATGCCTGAGACACAACTGTCCAGGAGCTGTTATCAGCCCCTTCCTTCCTCCTGTGGAAGCTAAAGAGGGTCAGCCTCTCTGAACGGTCCCAGTCCCTTGTGTGTATCTCCTGGGGTTTGATCACTCTCTCCATGATAAAGAGGCTGCCCCAGTCCCCACACAATCCCCCCAAGAGCAGGGATTACCCAGCTTTTCACTCTGGGGACCAGTTTGCGGGGAAGATGGCCCTTTCATGGGCTCAGTCCCATACTGCTTGGGGTCTCCAAATGTTCCATTCCACAGTCCTAGTTTGAGACCCCCTGCTTCAGCTTTCCAACCCTTCCTTCTCTCGTTCTGTGGGAACATTAAAGGGAGATTCTCTATTTAGATCTGCCCAAAATCCCCTGGTGAGGATCCCCTAGAAGAGATTCCCCCTCTGCATCTCTCAGCCCTTCTTTCCCTATGTGACTCTTACAAGTGGTCACCCAGCTCGGAACTGCCCATACTCCTGTGTGCATCCCCTGTCCGTGTCTGTTGCCATCAACCTCCCACCTCTGCTGTGAATCACCCCAGTTCATCCTCCATGTATCCACTGAAGCGATATCCCTCTCTGTCTCTCACCCTCCCCCCATCTCTCTTACTGCCCTCAGCCCCCCGAGTCCTCCTTGCTATCTGGTTTCATCATTGCTTGGCATATCACTCCCCTTCCCCCAAGACACAGCAGCATTGTACTGTGGTGCTTGGCAAGTGACCCATGTGACCCCACTCCAGGACCAGTAAACATTTCTCATTTTGGGTAAGTGTGCAAAGCAGGGGACAGTGCAAGGAGCCTTCACTATTGGCACAAACTCAGGGGTGGCTCCTCATTACTGCTCCAGCATCTACCCAAGATAGCTGACTGTGCAAGAGGACATATGCTGCAGAGCTGAGCAAATAATGGATTTTGGGGTTCAGGGGCCAAACTAAAAAATCTGGGGAAAAATCCAGTTTGATTCGAACTGAAATCAATTTTTTCAACATTTTCCATCGAATTGAAAAACTAGGAAAAAATTGATTTTGAATCAACCAAATCATTTCAATTCATTTGAAATTATTTTTTTCTCCAGATTTTCATTGTGATTTGGCCATTTTGGGTGTTCTTCACCCTCTTTTGTGTTTTTTTTTAATTGGCCAAATTTGAAAACAAAATGCCAGTTTGAAATGAAAAAAATCAAAATGAAATGTCTCAAAATGGTTGAAAAGAAACATTTTGAATTTTTGGAAAAAATCAGGGGTTTTGTCCAGTTTGATCCAATTCATGAAACATTTCAGAGCCGCAAAAAAATGCATTTTTGGTGAAATTTCTACTCTCTGAAAAAATGTCACCCCGTTCTAATATGCCTCAACCCCTCACAGGTATGGCCCCTCTGCATGCCTGGCAGCACTGGGACAGCAGATCTGGATTCCCCCAAAGCACAGTGCTCATGGCACTCCACTCAGGTTGCAAACCCCCATATCAGCATGGGGCTGTGACTACAGCCCTGTACTCTATTTTTATTTAAAACAGCATGAAACAGAAAGGAAGAGAAATGGAGGGAAGACTCACATGAGATGGGAGACTCCTCCTGTCAGCCATCTCTCTCTCTCTCTCCTTCCCTCGCCAGCTCACTCTCAAGCCCCACGTTCTTTTCTGATCCCCAGTCTCTCACTCCAGGCCAACACTCACTTCTTCTGTCTCTAAGGATGCTGCAGTCACCTGTTTAGACCTGCTGTAATATAGTTCCTAGTCTCCCACCCACTCACCCTCCCAAACCCTCCCCACCTGCCACCTTTATGATGCAAACAGTGAGACTTCTCCTCCCAGGTTCTCACTGAAGAGGAGTGAGAGGAGGGGGCGATATCTAGACCGACCTTGGGTGCTAGCACCTCTCTCACAGCCCTGTCCTGGAAATTTATTACCTCAAATCCCAGTGCTATCAATCACCAGGAGTAGGACTAATACTACCCACTGTGCCCTGCCCATACAGTTCTCAAACACCAGGTTCTGAGCCTTGTGTTCAAACCAGGGATTAGAGGAATAACAATCTCATACATTTCTCTGGCACTTCCATTCTAAAAGGCCCTAGAGCGCTTTACAATCTCTGTGTATAAGAATCTCAGGACCCCCCATTAGAATGCAGCCCCCTCCCAGATGGAACATGACAGCTGTTTAGTGGGCCATTCAGCAATGCTACACAACAGCTTAGAGCAAAGGGTGATGAAGAATCCTATATTGAATTAAAACTTCAGGGAGATGAGGGAAGAATTTGAGGAGGCAGAGTTACTATTATGCAAAACAACTTGTACAGAGTGCCAGCAAGGTAGACAGAGCTTTATACACACATAGAGCACGGCACTTTCCTTATACACATGTTCTCTGTGTATATAAAATCTCCTCACTGTATTTTCCACTGCATGCATCCAATGAAGTGAGCTGTAGCTCACGAAAGCTTATGCTCAAATAAATTTGTTAGTCTCTAAGGTGCCACAAGTACTCCTTTTCTTTTTGCAGATTCAGACTAACATGGCTACTACTCTGAAACCTTTCAACTCTAGGCTACTAGTCCAAATCCAGCCTAACTCGGTAGTGAATGAAAATTGTTTCCACCTGACAACTGCTCAGTGAGCTGTTTGAAATGAGTTAGGTGGGTCTTTGTCCGTTTCCTAGTAGGACAGGTATCCACATTCCAAACAGCAGCATCTCAATTGGTTCCCTTACAGGTATTCTCAGCAATGGCTCATAGACTGAATGGGGCATGCAGACTCATCCTTAGAGACTGGTTTCCTTAGAGACCCATATGCAAGCTTGTGATACTGCCAGCTGTGTACCTGTTGTGGGGATACTTCAGTCTCCAAAGCCATCAGTGAAGCACCTTTCACAGTTGGGTAATGCTGCCATCCCAGACCTATGCTGATGGAATCTTTATAACACAACATTCCACCATGAATCCTATATACACATTAGCATTGGGTTAGACAAGTAGAGCAATGGAGTCAGTACTAACTCAGACTGAAGGACAACCCCTACTAAGTCACCACCCAATGCTCTCTGCTTGGAAGGAGACACAATTCAGAAAAAAATCCTTTGTACAGTGCAGTAGAACTGACATACATGCCAGACTCTGGAATTGCTCGTTGTCCAGCTTCAACAGAGTGAACCTGAAGATGTGTAGGTTTTGAACCACAGCTGGTGGGGCTGCAGGGATGTGTGATTGGTTTGATTTCAGTTTTCAGAAGTGTAGAAGACAATTCTTTAGGGCAGGGGTGGGCAAACTACAGCCTGCGGGCCAAATCTGGCCTGCAAGCCATTTTAAGCCGGCCCCTGCTCCAGCGCTTGGGCCAGGGCACTGGGTCGGGGCTGCACCACACAGCTCCCGGAAGCCAGCATAGCTCTATTCCAGCTCCTACGCAATACCCCTCCTGCTCTCCAAACCCCTCTATTCCAGCCTGGACCACCCTCCTGCACCCCAAATATTTCATCTACAGCCCCACCCCAGAGCCTACACCCCCAGCCAAAACCTGCACCCCTTCCCGCACCCCGCCACAGCCCTGATCCCCCTCCTCCGCTCCGAACCCCTCTGTCACAGCCCAGAGCACCCTTCTACACCCCAAAGTCCTCATCCCCAGCCCCACCCCAGAGCCCACACCACCTCCCACACCCCAACCCTAATTTTGTGACCATTCATGGCTCGCCATACAATCTCTATTCCCTGATGTGGCCCTTGGGCCAAAAAGTTTGCCCACCCCTGCTCTAAGGGGAAAGGCGAAACCACATATCTCTCACTCTTTCTTACATGCATTTAGGGCTAATGTAAACTACACAAG